AAAGACTGATATTATCTAGCTACTTAGGAGCAAATGAACTGGTAAATATACATAGAGTTCGTCGACTGCGAGATCTTGTCCTTCGGATTATTAGACAGTAATCGTTGACCAAAAAAAAACATTGCTCTCAACGGTGCTGCAGCTAGTGTCTGTTTTGTCAGAGATGTTGGCAACTAAGTCACCTTCGAAATCAAGGCACACAAACAGTATTTTTTTGGGTACAAACGTTAAGAATACAATTTTCAGCGAAGAGACTCTTTTCAACGAATTTATTATCAAGCTGTACAATCGTATATATATGGTTTTATAAAGAAATTATATCCGGTGAGCGAATTAGGTCAAAGGTGTGAATACATGAAATAATAGTAGTATGAAATGCAATTAAAATACTTGCGATTATATTCATAGTTAAATGTCAAGTGGCAAAATAATTAATGTCATATATAGAATAATACATAAGGTGTATAGATTTTGGAAAGAAGTATGTAATTATAAGATTAGTAGATGAATATAAAATGTTACGTAACATGGTGTGAAATTTGATAACATAGAATTTAATATTGTAAAAATAAAAAGTATACAAATGAATAATTTTGGGTTTAAAATGTCAAGTGGGTCAAGTGGAAAAGATACAGAATGAGAGTCGTAATAATAATAATAATAAAAATAATAAAAATAATCGAAGTAATAAGGGAAAAGTACATAGAATAACTAAATAAACAAAATAAATAAATGTCTATCCCTCTAAGGCCAAGGCAGAAGTAGGGATTGTACATACTTCTTTTGTACACAAAGGTCTGGCTGGCTTAAAGTCATGAATTGCCAAGGCCTCCGCTGTCTTTAGAAGTCTGTAACGGAGAAAACGCGGGAAGTTAGCATGAATTCTATATATGATCTTGAAATCATGGTCAGGGTTGGTGTGGAGTGACAGAAGTCGATCAGGTGTTCCAGAATAGAGCTTCGCACACATTTCCTTTCTCCCTTGTAAAACCAAGCTGGAATATATTCTCCTATCCATGTGGAAAGCGGCGTCCTCTGACTACGGCCAATGTGCCTTGCTCCACAAGAGCAGGTGAACTGGTAGTTGAACATGGAGGCGGTCAGACGGGGGATAATAAATTCGTTGAAAAGAGTCTCTTCGCTGAAAATTGTGTTCTTAATGCTACAATGGGAATTATTAGATTACAAACGTTAAATCACGTCTCATAGGTTTTAACTATACACTTTTATCAATAAAACATAACGGAAAGCTATTTGCCTTTGGGATTTTCCTGGTAACATTTAAATCTTCCTCCACAGCATTAGGACTACATCTTGTCACGTAGTGTTGTAATTGCATATATATATAAATATTATATTCGTATATCCTGCATATTCTTATCTATCTTCGTATTTCTCTTAGTCTACCTCTCCCTAGTCTATTATATTGTCTTTGTCTTTTGTCCTGGTGTTTTGAAAATTGAAAGGTCACATAAAAATGTTAAGAGACACAAATGTGACAGTATTATCTTATTGATATTATCCCGAATATTAAAATAAGGATGATGTCCGTTTCATACAGAAATCCTTCTTGGAATTGATCGAATACTCACAAGAAACATCCTGATATTATTCCTTGACAGGTCCATCTCTTTTTTCCATAACGCCGATCACCTTGGACTGAACTGCCAACTCGAGAACCTGGGCCAACCGCAACTAGGCTTAAATGGAAAAGCGAGACAAGAAAAAACCCAACACACAACAAGTATACCACATCACACCGGCACGCTCTCCCTGGCGCGTGGGATCTTCGCTCTCTCTGTCGACAGTACCATCGCTGATCTAGTCCTCGAAGTGTTGGTTGCTTCATGTCAGACTGGCACAATCCCCTCCCCGGCGTATCAAATCGCATCCACTGACTCTAACACTACTCAATTTGTTCACAAGTTTAGAAAACTAGAAACGATTTCAGAAGTACTTATAGTTACATTACAAGATGATTCACACAGTGCGACAACTATAAATAAACCAACAGTTAGATGAATTGAAACCCTCTCTATTACTTAACACAAACATATGTACTATCAATACATCAAATGTTATGGATTCTGCCTTGAAGGGAAACCCTTGAAGAACTGTAGGACTTACAGCAGTATGCCTACATTCCTTCTCAGGCTGACGATCCAAGTGAAAATGATCCTGACACAAATAAAATTAACCAAGAGATAGATGATAAAAATTCGATATATACATCATGAACATGTGTACAAAAAATATTATAAGTACGGTGGACTGCGTACCGATGTACTACCCTTTGAAAAATTGTAGAACTTACAAAAGTACGCCTATAACGCTTCTCAGATTGACTCCTTAAGTTGGAGTTGGCAAGTGTCGAGAGAAAACAACTGTTGATGAAGCTCTGTAGTTTGTTTGAGATGCTCTTTATGTCTCGCCGAGTCTTTGATCCGTACAGTGAGTAGCACTGACTTCATATCGGAGTTGAAAATCCAGATCTTATTTTTGATTCTGAGTGCTGTTGACCTCCACACAGACTTGAGAGTAATGAAAGCTTGTCTTGCTTTTCCGATTCTGGCTTTGATATCCTCGTCAGTTCCGTCGGGCTGTAGTTGAAACGATGCTTCCCAGGTGGGTGAGTAGGTGAAGGAGGTTATTGCTTTCAGGTTCCTCCCATTTATGCTGACTATCGTCTGTTGTTGTTGTTGCTGTTGGTGTTGGCCAGGAATCTTCATCATCTGCCTCTGTTTTCTCTATGTTCACCTGAAGTCCTATCTTCTCTGGATGTTTCCTATGCCAACTTGTTGCATTTCACTTGCATATCTTCCAGTTTGTTTGTGGGAAATCAGATATATATCATCGGTGAAGTCCAGATCCTCCAAGTTTTTTGTGTGAGTCCACTTTATACCTGTTTCCTCATTGCCCGTTGTCTGTCGCATTATCCAATCTACTGCAATCAGGAAAATCACTGGCGACAGTAGGCAGCCTTGTCTCACTCCCGTCCTCACTTCGAAGACTTCCGTAAGTTTCCCGTTGTGGAATACTTGGAATGCAGCATTGTCGTATAACTGTTGGATGAGATGTATAATTGTCGATGGGACCCCGTAGTAGTGAAGTAGTTGCCGAATGGCCTCTCGATCGACGCTGTCGAAATCCTGTTCAGAGTCGATGAGGTTGAGATAGAGAGGTGACTGCCATTCCAAGCTGTGTTCATTAATGATCCGTAGTGTGGCGATTTGATCAATACATGACTTGTTTCTCCAAAATCCAGTGTGTTCCGGTCGAAGTGTTTCATCCAGTTTGGCTTGTTTGATTCTTTCCAGGATGATTCGGCTTAGTATTTTGCTTGGTATGCACAGGAGCATAATTCCGCTCCAGTTTTTGCATTGACTTAAGTCTCCTTTCTTTGGTAGTTTGAATAAGTATCCTTTCTTCCAATCTTCGGGTACTTTGCCCTCTTTCCACAACATCTCCAGTGATGGCGTCATCAAGTCCGCTGTTGTCTCTGGGTCCATTTTCAATGCTTCTGCTGGAATTCTATCTGGCCCTGCTGCTTTTCCAGCCTGTAACATCTTTATTGTATTCAGGACTTCTGATTTCGTCGGGGGGGGGGAAGGTTGATGTTCACTGGTGTTCAGAATTAGGTGGTTGTCAATTTTCTTTGCCCTGGTAACTGGATGTCTTTATTTTCTCTTCTTTGAGTTTGATCTCTTTCCTTTCGCTATAAGGTAATTTTGCTTATCTTTTTTTGCTTTAATTTGAGCTGAACCCATCAAATTATAGAAAATCAAAACAAGTGATTTAGCGAAGAGACTCTTTTCAACGAATTTATTATGGAGCTGTACAATCGTATATATGCATATATATATATGGCTTTTAAGAAATTATATCCGGTGAGGGAATGGAACCATTGGTGTTAATGCATAAAATAATAATAGTAGTATGAAATGCAATTAAAATATTTGTCAAGCGGCAAAACAATTAATGTCATATATAGAATAATTCATAGGATGTATAGAACTTGGAAGGGGTGTGCATTTATAGGATTAGTAGGCGATTCGAATAAAATAAAAACGTTACGCAACATTGTGTGAAATTTGATAACATAGAATTTGACGTTGCAAAACAGAATTGATTTAGAATAACAAGTGAAATAATACCGGGTACAGTTCAAAGTGAGAATAGTAATAGTAATAATTGACGTAATAAAGTGAGAGTATACAAACTGAATAGACAAAATGAAAAAAAAATTGGTGGAGCCAAAATATGATCAAGGATTTCCATACTTTAGCATAGAAAGATTAAGACTATGAGAGTTTAATGGGGTTGAACGAACTTTTTCTGTACACAGAGATCTGGCTTTTCTGTTTCGATAACCAAAGTTTCAGCAACACAGATGAGTCAGGTACGTAGTGATCTGGGTAAATTACTTTTTGCCTTGTAGATGACTTTAAAGCCGAAGGCTTTAGAGATAGGGTGATCATTATCGACCAGGTGTTCATTGATGGCGTTTCTTATTGCTCCACTACCACTTCGACAAAGCTCCAGTCGAACGACCGATGTACCTAGCTCCACAGGGGCAGGTGAATTGATAAACGCACATCACATTATCACTCAATTTATAGATTACTTAGCATTACATTCACCCTGTGTCTTTATTACTCAGCGTCTCTGCTTCTGTATGCCAGCTCTTTATTTTGTTTAAACTTGAACATTCTGTGTATAAACTATGCGAGTGGAATTTTTGAAGAAGACTGGAGTCTCCTGTCAGCCGACATCACGTAACATTTGCAAGTGTATTTAAATTGACCTACACACAAAACTCAACCCATTTATGTAGGCTGTATGTGGCTGATGAGAAACCTACAAAACACAAACCATTGTTCTTGCTTTATTCCAATTCAAAATCAATGGTAGTAACAACATAAGATTAGTCAACTTTTTAGTTGATTGGTTCTTGTATTCCCTTATTATTACTATTATTATTCTTTCAATACTGTCTGTAGGAAAACTTCGAGTGGACATAGAATATCAATGTAATTCAATCAAACTGCATGGTAAGTCACTCTTTTTGGTAGTCATTATTGAATTCTCTTCTACTAATATTGTTCTCATAACCTGTTCGTAGATAGCTACTATGCAACTGTGAGTATAAGCCTAGAAATCAACTGATAGTAAGGGGCCAAGTTAAACTTTAAGCATCACTAACTAACTACCAATGGAGTGCGACCACATCAATGACCTTGAGACATTGACTGAGCAAGTTAGTGAAACCTGACAAATAATGTTGTCATCATCAATAAACTATGCTGATCGAAGAGTTGTGTTTTATTAAATGGGATATCTGCCATGTTTCACCTTGGGTTTGAGAAAGATTAACTTACGGTTTAGGTCAAGGACTAGTTAGGGTTAGGTTAACCTAAGAAAGGCGACATTAGGGTTGGTTCCAGTTGGATTACAGTTAGTTAAGTGATATTTTAACGCTAGGGTTAGGTTCTGGAAAGATAAGTGTTACTGTGAGGGTTAATTCTAAGCAATTACATACTTAGAATGTGGTTAAATTACTCTATTGATATAAGAATAGAACTTTTGCACAGTGATAGAGTATAATTCCATTGTGGGTAGAATTTGTTTTGATAATGTCCCAAAATGTTATACAATAATATTTGCTAATGAAGTTTTGGGCACAATTTATACCTCAGTAAATATTACTGTATAACACCGTGAGTCTTTATCAAAATAAATTTTTACCCACAATGGAACTATACTCTGTCGATACACCAACTTAAAACTGAGAGCTATTGTTAATGCTCAGCTAGTCTAACTGCCCCTGTTCTACTAGTTTGACCTAATAATGTATGTGTAAAACTTGGGCACCGTGGAAATAAGTAATTCCATATTTGTTTGTGAATAATACTGTTTCACTGTGTGATACATCTAACAGACCAACTAATATGGAATAATTTGACCTATGTATTTGACCTGACAATCATTGCGGGGTACTAGGTAAACTAAATTGTTTTGTTTTATAGGCTCCACAGGATCCTTTAACAGATATTTAAACTTCCAATCATCCCATCCTATGACAGTAAAAATAGGATTGATGAAATGTCTAAATGACAGAGCACAAAAACTAAGTAGTACCAAAGAAAATCTAAAACAGCAAGTGGTACACATAAAAGAAGCCTTGAAACTTAATAATTACCCGGATAAATTAGTCAGGAAATATGTAGGGAAATGTAAAAATAAAATAAATAATGATAGTAGCGATGGTGGTAATAATAATAATAGTGATAACTATAATGACGATAATAATAATAGTGATAGCAATAATAATATTAATGACGATACCGACAATAAGGAATCTAAATCATCAGTAGTAATTCCATACAAGGAAAGAACCTCGAAAACCTTACGCAGAATTCATAACAAGGCAGGAATAAATGTGGCTGATATTCAAACCCATAAACTCAATTAGAAACAAGATATGTCGGTTACAGGATCAATTCTGTAGAGCCTTTAAAACAAAATGACTTAGTTTATCTAATACCCTGCCTGAAATGATTGTCAGGTCAAATACACACGTCAAAGTAGTAGAACAAAGGGCAGCGAGACTAGCTGAACATAAAAACCTAGCTAAATCTAGATTGGTTGACCTGAATAAGATAAGAAATCTAGAGAATAGTTCATCTATACCATTCACCACACGCAGTTACACACAAACATACAATAGGATGGGATAGGGTAATAAGATGACAGTTTTCAAATCTGATGCAACTGACAGGGTGGAGGGAGAGATTGATAACAGAAGCTGTGTTTATCGAATCAACTGCAAATCAACACATATAATAGGAATGTTTCAACACCTGTCCACCCAAATATCTGGAAAATTCTACTACCCATACGACAGATAGGAGAGGAGAAAGAAAATTATAAAACTCAAGTTTTAAGGTCGTGTGATTATAATTGATGAGATGATTATGAACCACAATAAGTTTTGTTCGAAACCTGGTCATCCAGTAAACAGTTATTCTGTTTTACTCACTGTGTCATATATTTAATACACAAACTAATATGGAATCACTTACTACCACAGTGCCCACATTTTACACACATATATTAATACAGCCTGCTTAACTTCCACCGAGTATATCCTCATGAGTATATGTGGTATTTAGTAAAGTTTACTGATGCATATCATGACAAATTAATGAGCAAAAGTAGATAATTGAACTAACTATTTGGAAGTTTTTTTAAATTTCTTCTACTTAATATATGCCTTATTTCTTACATAAGTAATTAATTGTCATATTTTACATTCGAAATCTTTTTTTTCCTATACGCTACAAAAGTTTTTTTCTCCTATTAACTTTGCCTTGTCTTAATTATTTAAAAAAAGAAAGGAAATGGGGAATGAAAGAGAAAAAAAAACTATGAAATTCACCTTTGCGAAAAGAAAAGAAATAATTAATTTAATTTTGTAGAATCATTCATTCATTTTTGTTTGAATGAATTGATTTGATAATGTCGCGCTAATTGAATTGAATTAATTGAGTATCCATTTGATTTAATATATCGTCTTTTTGATTGGACACCAGTAATTAGTGTGATGTGTCTAGTTCTGTCTCTTTGGTACAGACTGAATTCTATTAGTCAGCCAAGTTTGTAATGTGACCACCATTCTAGGTAGCTTACCATCACGGTGAACATTGATTTGATGATATAAGATGATTGGAGGCAATTGGCCACAGGAAGCCGTTTTTCTTCACCTAGGTTTCGTGCTGGTCGGCACTCACCAGTCAGCAGGGCGTATCCGCGACCTTGAAGGAGCCCATGTCCTTTTTGAGATTCGAACCCGCGTCACCCAGCGCCGTCTGCAGTCAGAGACGTTACCACTGAGCTATTTGGGCTGGCTGATGATTGACCTCCTGTAGGACTGTAGTGGGTATTTTCATTGGATACTAGTAACCAGTGTGATGTGTCTAGTATTTAAAGTCTTTTTTTTTTATCTTTTGCGTTCTGAATGGAACATAGGTCTTTAAAATTGAGCTTTAAGGTGTCAGTAGGAAAGGTTTCTTTCAAGAGATGGGGTTGTTAATCCCACGTGCACCATTCCATCTTTTCTAGGCTTACTAGCGGCTGGTAGACTTAATGAGGTTTAAGACTTCACTGATCGGGAATTGAACCCAAACCACGTATGGTGTCGACAAGAATTTTATCATAGAACCACGTATACACCGTGATAAAGAACAGTATACATGTAAACGTATTTCTGCTCACATTCTCAGTAATCACAAACCCGTAAATCTGTTTTGGTTTATTTTAAACGTAGTCTGTTTTTAAATGGGATTAGGGATCGAGTCTGAGAAGTTCAATAAATTAAACTAACCGGGAAAATTGGGTAAAATTACTCAGAAGTGGCTTTAAAAGTGAGAATAAAGGTTGTGAAAAATACAGTACTCAACGGCACGAAGGAAGAAATGGTTAGAAATTTGATAAGGGTAGTTGAGTTTCATTTTAGCAAGTGTGAAAATGTACAAAAAGAATATATGTGAGTGATAATAGTTAATTAATTGTTATTATTACTAAAAAGTGAAATTAAAAATGAATAAATATTAATAAGAATTGAAAATTAATAAAAATTAAAATTGATAAAAATTTTTTTCTTTATGGAAAGACTGGTGAAAAGGTTAAGATCATGTTAGAATAAGAGACTAGACAAACTTATTTGTATACAGAGAGCAGGGTTGCATTGACAAAATGCCAGAGCCTTCACCATACACAGAAGCCAAAACCTGACACCCTTTGTACCATTTGCCCTCACCTAATAGATGATCTTGAAAGATGACTGGTGGAGCTATGTGGCCTGAGTTCACCACTTGCTGGAGAATTGAGCTAGCGACTCTCTTGCATTGTCCCTTTGCTAACCATGCTGGATATTGTTCAGAAATGCGCTTGGAAAGTATACGCTTAGTGGAGCCAGTATAACTAGCTCTACACAAGCATGCGAATTCGTTAACACACAATGAAGTGGCCCAAAGCAGCATCCATTGGTCACTTGTCGACTGTAGAAATTGATCAGTAGCTCTGCCTTAGAAAAGGCTTTTCTCAGTGATTTGCATAAGCGATTCTTCAGGATCTCATCTGCGGTATCACTTTTGAATTCAAATTTCCTTAATAGCAGTTTCTTCGGCACCATGTGGGTTCTTTCAGGCTTTTGCTTTAACTTCATGTTTTTTTCTCGATGAATCTTGGAGGATATCCATTTTCTATGAGAACCTGTCTGAGTCGCTCCAGCTGCTTGTCGGTCGTATCATTGGAAAATATCCTCCTTATTCTCGAGGATAAGAAATGGATAGGATTTCTCTTTTTCCCCAAACAGACCCAAATATGAAAACTCATGTAATGACCATCTCATGTTGGTTTTCTGTAGAGTAATATTTAAAGAGAACCATTAGATCGCCTTCTAAGAAAGACATCTAAAAATGGAATTCCGAGTCCCTCGCTGACTTAGACGTGACGTGGATGGCATGATGGCACCTGTTGAAATCCTTTGTAATCATTTCGATGTTAGTATTCCGGTAACATATGATGAAAGCATCATCTGTATACCTTTCGTACATATGAAAACTCTAGATAGTGGGTCGTAACATACTGTTCTCTAGACTTGTCATGAAGCAGTCTGCAAGTGAAGAACCCAATGGTGACCCCATTGCCACTCCATTTCTTTGTCTATAAACCATGTAGGTGAACTTAAATTGGACATTTAAAGTGCACGCTAATAGTAGTTCCTTTAAGTAGTGGATCGGAACACCAACGTCTACATTATTATTCTCAATAAATTTGCACATAAAGCAAATAGTTTCAGTGAGTGGAACATTAGGGAAAAGGGACGTAACATCTATGGATATCATTTTCTTCCCGGATACATTAGCACCACTTATTGAATCAACGAATTCAAAGGAATCTGAAACACTATACTGACAGAGATTATTTCTGATAGGTAGGAGGATGTCGGCGAGCCATTTGGCATGTAGCATTATAAGGGGAATTTGTTATATCGAAGATTAGACGTAATGGAACGTTCTATTTGTGCACTTTCGGTAGACCATATAACCGGGGAATTACGGAACCTAAGGGTCGTATTTGCTCAAATAATTCAGAAATGATAATTGATTCGTTTTCCATCTTATTCAGCATTTGTGTTATCTTTCCTTCAGTATGTTCTGTTTGATCTTTCTGGTTATTTTCTTGTCAAAATTTGTTTTCATCTGACATGATGTGGACAACATTTTATCGACGTAGTCTTGGTGATTCATCAGGACGACGCCAGTAACTTTATCGGGGCGGGTTATCAAATTTCTAGCTCTCTCTTTCTTCATGCCGTTGGGTACTACGTAATTCACAACTTTTATTCTCACTTCTAAAGCCACTTCTACCCGACCTTATAGATAATTACACATAGTAATTTTATTGATTCGACCTTTCAACGGAAATAATTCTGAAACTTTCTCACATATTTATTTATATTTTTTGTTTAAATTCGTCATTAATTCATCAATACATCCATTACTGATAATTGTTTCTTGTGGATTTTAGTAATTGAAGCTAAAGGTCTACGCGCTGCCAACAATCAAAATTGTAATTCTTTTGTGAAAGTAAGTGTATTGCATGGAGATCTGTTGACACAGTTTTGATCTCTTGTATTGACCTAATGTTAATGACTGTATACTCAAATTACAGGGATTTTGTTTGTGAAATTATCAACGATAGGTGTATTTCACTGACATCTATCTTAGGTTCGATATGATACAATAAAGCAGTCTTGATGATATGCAAAGGAATAAATAAGTATTGCCTGCAATTATGATAATGTATCATAATATCCTGACTATTCTCACAAAAGTGTTTGTCACTCATAAGTTATTTTTGGGGGAATGGCATGTTTCATCTACTTCACATTGTCATTTGATCACATCTCACTATGTGTTAAGTTTTGATGCAATCAACAAAGGTGTAAAGCCTGATTTCCTAGAATTTCGGTCTTCACTGTGTTACGCAATAAGACTGTTGCTGTGTCGATAATCGCAGTGTTTGTTTGTTGTAATGTCTTTATTTAACACTTGGTCGTTTATGATTGCACAATATGACGTGCGCCGGCGGTTCGATAGTAGAAATCTGGTAAACCATACACGTGATCAGAGGTTCGACTCTTGGTCAAGACGCTTCTAAACATCCCTTAGCTAGTCGTAAGCCTGGTAAATACACACTGAGACTATTGAACCGTGAAAGCCATTATATTATTTTATAATTCTCATTGAAACATACTACCCCAGAAGCAGATCTCTATTTCATCCTCTTCCCTGAAGACCTTTTGCAGCTGAATCCACTTTTCTCAATAAGATTTTGTCTCGTGCATGACACTCATAGACCCCCGTTTAAGCTTCTCCGGAGGGCCTGATGAGGGAAAAACTTTATACATCTCGTTGTTTAATTCCACTAGAGCCAAATACAGATCACCTCTTAGTTTGTACTCTTTTTAGGCGATTGAAGTCGACCTCGTGTCCTGGATTATGACGCCAGTCGATAGCACAAGATTGACTTCAAATTTACCTCATAATACTAATGGTTTGAGCAAAATCTTTATGTTAAGAGAAGTTATCCAATTGGACAATTAAATGAACCGAATAAATCATTGTCATCAACAAATACGACAGTTTTGCATAATTATTTATTCGTGGCTGAAACACACACTCAGATTAGACTGTTATCGATACCGAAGACTATGTCGTGACAATAATAGTTACATTTTGTCATGGATAATATTTTTTCTTTGATAACTAATCGAATGCTCATTAGCGACCGACTCAACACGTGAAGTTGCCTGGAGTTCCGGTGAGAAGTTGTGATCAACGAGATTCACCAAATCAGGTTAAAAAACAGTTTCTCACCTACGGCACTGTCTGGCGATTGCGAATTAGCTGAAGCTGGAAATCATGGACCATTAAATCAGGTCCCATTGGTTGAATGGTATACGAGCTGAACATGTAACTGAAAGGCCATGGACTTGAACCCTAGTGAGTGTGTTCTGTCGAAGAGTCACGGGCTGTGATGAAAGATCTCTCTAGAAATTCCAAGTTTTCTAATGGGTCTGTAAGTGATGTCAGTTCATGATCGATGTCCTCGTCACTTCCATTCGCCTGTAGTTGAAACAATGCTTCCCAGGTAGGTGGGTAGGTGAAGGAAATTGTTTCTTTCAGGTTACTCCCATTTATGCTGACTATCGTCTGTTATTGTTGTTGCTGTTGGTGTTGGCCAGGAATCTTCACCACCTGCCTCTGTTTTCTCTATGTTCACTTGAAGTCCTATCTTCTCTGGATGTTTCCTATGCCAACTTGTTGCATTTCACTTGCATATCTTCCAGTTTGTTTGTGGGAAATCAGATATATATCATCGGTGAAGTCCAGATCCTCCAAGTTTTTTGTGTGAGTCCACTTTATACCTGTTTCCTCATTGCCCGTTGTCTGTCGCATTATCCAATCTACTGCAATCAGGAAAATCACTGGCGACAGTAGGCAGCCTTGTCTCACTCCCGTCCTCACTTCGAAGACTTCCGTAAGTTTCCCGTTGTGGAATACTTGGAATGCAGCATTGTCGTACAACTGTTGGATGAGATGTATAATTGTCGATGGAACCCCGCAGTAGTGAAGTATTTACCAAATGGCCTCTTGATCGACGCTGCGCTGTCGAAATCCTTTTCAAAGTCGATGAAGTTGAGATAGAGAGATGTGTGACTGAGATTCCAGCCTTTGTTCATTGATGATCCGTAGTGTGGCAATTTGATCAATACATGACTTCTTTCTCCTGAATCGAACCTATAACGCAACAAATCTCTGCAGACCAGCACTTGATAACTTGCGAACTAGAGGAGATTTCACTAAGATAATCTGTTAAGTTTATAAAAAAAGTAGGCAGGCGAATATCATGCTTGACTGGCTTTTGTTTGCATAATGCTGACAGTAAATCTGTTTTACGTATTATAGTTAGATTCCCGATCAACGCATTCCTAAAGCTCTTCCAGTTAACCAGATGATAGTAATTCGGGAGGACAAAGAAGGCTGTACACGAGGCTAGCAATCCCACTCCATAAAAATAACACCATGAGAACTGGAAGCATGAAGCCTTTTGTTACACTTTGAAAGAAAAGGAAGCAGGCAGAATTAGCTAGTTGACAAGTGTATCAGAATTCTACAGTGCAACTTATTACTTCAAATAGCCTTGAACCAGTGATATGAAGGGGAGTAGAAGAATAAATATGCACAGTTATTCAAGCAGATCGATGAAATGGGGATTCATTTTAAGTCCTTACAAAATATATACACAGTCTGAGTATGAAAACAATATCAGATGAAATTCCACAATGTAATTTATCTCAAAAACACAATTATCTACACTAAGGATAAATTGTTTTCATAGTATTAGTGGTTTATATCTTTAGCATGTTACTGATCCCAGTCTGGCTGGACAATAATAATAATAATGTGAGTTTTCCAATAGTCTTTTCATTGAGAAAGTCACAATATCGCTTCATGGCATTTACAAATCGCATCAACAGAAAAATAAAATAAATAAACATAATAACCGACAAGATTTTGTTTCGACACTGATTTGGTCTGTGCAATTTCTGAATAATCATTGAAGTTCAATAGTACAATAGTTCTAGTTAGATCCTTTTGCGTCCCGAGAGAAATATAGGGATCCAGGCTTCAGCTTTGAGGCTTCAGAATCAGTGAGGTTGTATTTTTATAGGGTTGGGTAGCTAACCTCACGTCCAACATTTCTTCGCTTCCTACAGCCTAATAAACTAGGTGAGATTTAGGAGTGCGCTGTTTGGTAGTCGAGCCTTGGACCACATATGCGGATGGTCAGCATTCTGTCTCTGAATGACAGATATCACAGTGTAGACTAGTAATCTATTTCTCTAGTGGCACACTGGGAGACTCAGACAGTTTCGGCTGAATTATTTAGTAGCTTAAAAATCCCCGTTGAGTCATATGAAAAACAGAAGACATTCAGAGAAGAGACTCTTTTCGGTGAATTCATACACACAGCTGTACAATCTCATTTGTATATAACTATTGTTATGTGTGTGTGTGTACATGAGGTTTGTCAAGTTTAGATAATTGATAAGGTAGTACAAGAATGATCTAATATAGAAACAAGGTTAATCAGACAGTAACTAAAGTAGGATTGTGTCGGTAAGTTAGATAACGTAATATAATTGACTAAAATGTTTCAATTTAGGTCAGGATAGCAACAGAGGTAATTACAAGTAGAGAGAGACTAAGTAGAAGTGGGGTAGAGAATAATGCCATTCATATTATCATTATAATCAAACGAATCAGTTGTATGACGTAACATGAATGACTAGAAACCGAGCGTTGGTTAAGTCAGTAACGGTGGTAGTGAGGTGTAGAAATGAAATCGGGTGGGGGTAGAGAACATGAAGGTTGAAAATGTAAAATATTAAAGTTGAGAAGAAAAAATAATACTAATGAAGAGACAGAAAAAAAGATAAGATAGATTACGTCCATTGCAAGTGTAGTGATTGAACGAACTTCTTCTATGTGCAGAGTTCAGGACTTAGCAAGTGAATCACCATTGCTTCTACATTTTGAAGAAGTCTGATTCGTACACCTTTAGGAAGACTGCTTCATATTATGTAGACGACTATGAAGTTTGTTCGGGGTGTAGCTTGGTGTCTGGATTCTATCAGATGTTCTAAGGTGGAGTTGTGGGGACATCGCTTTTCTCCTTTGTAAAACTATGTTGGTAAGTGTTCGGTGATACGCTTGGAAAGCGAACGCTGGGTATGGCCGATATACCTGGCTCCACACGAGCAGGTGAATTGATAAATACCACAGGTAGCTTATCCTTCACGTTCACATGAATCATAGGTTTTGTGGAGAAGGTTAATCGTAGTTCAGCTGCGAAGAAGGTCTTCTTAAGTGAGCTCGACAGTCGATTTTTTTAGTGTTTCCGCAGATATATCTCCATTGAACTGAAGGTTCATGTAGAGTAGTTTTTTTGGGAAGCTAAGCATGGGCTGCTTTTGTGGTCTACGATTCATAGATTTTGCAATAAATCGTTCTGGATAGCAATTTTCGACAAGGTTTCTCTTGAGGTTATCCAGTTCATCTTCAATGAAGTCCGAGGTGCAAATTCTGAATTTTGAGTATCAGCATTTCTGAATTTGACTGTTTTTTATTCTCTTTCCCGTTCTCTTTCGCTCTCTACTTTTAGGTGAACGTAACACCAGATAAGGAAAATTCATGCGAACAGATATCTGAAACTATTGAAAACTCCACAACACCTTATTATAACAAAGAATTTTCAATTGATTTAAACAAAATCAAATATGGAAGAAGAATTTATTTTGCAATTTATGTTATTTCTAATGAAAAAACGGAAAGGTGACGTTCTGTTGTACTACCTATTTTTATTATTTATTATTGGTTATTTCTATTTTCACCATATTATATATATATATATATATTATATGGTAAATTAAACAAGCTGTGGATGCAAAACTCCGACCGGAACAAGCTGGATTCAGGAGAAACAAGTCATGTATTGATCAAATCGCCACACTACGGATCATCATTGAGCAAAGTTTGGAATGACAGTCACACATCTCTCTATCTCAACTTCATCAACTCTGAAAAGGATTTCGACAGCGCAGCGTCGATCGGGAGGTGATTTGGCAACTACTTTACTACTACGGGGTTCCATCGACAATTATACATCTCATCCAACAGTTATACGACAACGCTGAATGCCAAGTAATCCACAACGGGAAACTGACGGAAGCCTTCGAAGTGAGGACGGGAGTGAGGCAAGGCTTTCTACTATCGCCAATGATCTTCCTGATTGCAGTAGATTGGATAATGCGACAGACAACGGTCCAGGCAGCAAGGAAACAGGCATAAAATAGACCCGGCCAACAACGATAAACTTGGAGGATCTGGACTTCGCTGATGATAGATGTCTGATTTCACACAAACAAACTGGAAGATATGCAAGTGAAATGCAACAAGTTGGCATAGGAAACATCCAGAGAAGATAGGACTTCAAGTGAACATAGAGAAAACGGAGGCGGGTGATGAAGATTCCTGGCCAACACCAACAGCAACATCAACAACAGACGATAGTGAGCATAAATGGGAGGAACCTGAAAGCGACAGCCTCCTTCACCTACCCACCTATCTGGAAAGCATTGTTTCAACTACTGCCCGACGGAACTGACGAGGATATCAAAGCCGGAATCGGAAAAGCAAGACACGCTCCCATTACTCTGGAGTCTGTGTGGAGATCAACAGCACTCACCATGAAAAATAAGATCCGGATTTTCCACTCCAATGTGAAGTCAGTGCTACTCACTGTACGGTTCAGAGACTTGGCCAGCGCGTCATGAAGAGCATCTCAAACAAACTACAGACATTCATTAACAGTTGTCTTCACTCAATACTCAAGATCAGATGGCCAGAAAAGATCAGCAACAAGAAGGGATCTCTAGGAGCGAACCAACTCAGCAGGAATTGATTGTGCAACAAATAGGCAGGAAGAAACGGAGATGGATTGGCCATACTCTGTGTAAGCGCAATATATCGCTTGAAATTAAGTCACGCGTAGATAAAGGCTATCCCGGTCCAGAACAAACAAGAAGCCGGTCACTGTTTCTACGGTACTATTAATAAACAAATCAATAATTATATATACAACAAACCTTAATGGTTTCAAGAGTACAAAGCACAACGCTTAACAGAAAGCAAGGTACCGCTATCACAGCGGAATAACGTTAAAGCCAAAATTGCGAACTAGCCGGGACCAAACACGACCATTCAGGTGAGCAGTTAGTAGAAGAATGAACCCAAGTAAGGCATGGCATAAAACAGAGAGCGTTTAAGAGAGATAGACCGAGCATAGGCACAAAAATAGAATCTAATTGGCTACTTAACCAGTTAGAAAAATACAGATGAAAATCAATAAATTAGATAAACTCGACAGAATAGTACAAAGTTAGACATGGGTCAGCAAAAATAACAGTTTACAAAATACTCTGATTGTGCCATGAGTTCGACTGTCTGACTAAATGGATCGAGGTAAAAACACATATACACAGTTGATTAAACAAGCAGTGATAGACACGTTAGGCATGGATACTTGAGTTGCAACAACGCTAGGCTGATCCGGGACAGGTTGACTTGATTCAAGGATGGGAATAGAATTGATCTTACACTCTGAGAAAACAAGCCATCATGTGACATCACTAGACAAGCCATTGCTCGAGTGGAACCCAAAAGGGAAGTGGCGAGTTGGTCATCCAAATTTGACTTGGAGGAGGTCATGTGAAGAGGAGATGAAAGCATGTTGGCAGACCTGGAGCGGGGTGAAAAAGTTGGCGGAAAACCGAACGTAATGGAGACACGCGGCTGGAGCCCTATGTTCCTCTAGGAATTAAATGATATAATATATATATATATATATATATATTGATTTACTCAAGAGTCGTTAGTGAAATAGAATTAAGTTGAAATACCTTTCATGTAGATAAAAGAATAAGAGGAAATTTCAATGAAAGTTTGGTCGTCTCTTCCAGTGGGCCTTATTTAATGTTTGTATTAAATGAAAGTAGTGATCACTTCATCATGTGATGCATCTGTGTGAATTATGTTGTAACTGCACGTAAAAACAGACGACCTGTGGTTGTTTTCTCTTCTATTCTCTTCGGTATCTTACAGCAAACTATCACCAGTACATTAAGTCTTTAACAGTTGGTGAGGATAGACTGCCTCTTTGATATAATTATAAAACTTGGGCATTGTGGCGGTAGAGTATAACTTCATTATAGAAAAGATTTTACTTTGATAAGTCACACAGTGTGTTACACAGTAATATTAACTGATGACCACCTTTCGAGCACAAATTATTACCGCTCATATTCATATCAAGAAACTCACACAACTTTCTTCCTTCATTTATATACATGTGTGGAATTAACCAGATATTGGAATAAATTCAATATGTGATAATGTACATTCAGAAATAATAATATGAGTGTTATTGATCAGTAGCACTAAGTAGCACAAAAAGACTTAAATGATGAAATAAGGCACATAGAAGAGGAAGCGTTGGTGTTTAACAACTATCCTATAAAATTCATTAGGAAGATCGAAAAAGACCAAAACAAAACTAAAAATAATTTTGAAACTTATAATGATAACATAAATAAGAAAGAATATGAGTCATCTACTGTTATACCATATAAGGCGGGAACATCTTAGACCCTAAGTTGTATGATTCTTAATAAAACAGGAATTACAGTGGCATTCAAACCTACAAACTCACTCAGAGACAAGCTCTGTAGACGAAAAGACCCGGTGGACACAATTAAACAAAATAATATAATTTACAAAATACCCTTCAATGACTGTGAGGTCAACTATTTAGGTCAAACTAGTAGACCGGGGATAATCAGATTGACGGAACATAAGAATTTAGCTAAGGTAAGAATGGTTGACCCTGAGAAGATAAGTAATTTAGAAAACAGCTCAGCAATTGCACTACATGCATTAACACAAAACACAACTGGGTGGGAGAGGGTTAAAATTCTAAGAAGTAATCTATGTAGGTGAAGAGTGAGAGAGATTGATTACTGAATCCTGGTTCACCGAGTGAATCTACTACCAACACATGCAACGGAAATGACTCAATGCAAATACCAGAGATATATATGGAAGATATTATTACCACCAGTCAGTCAAATCAGAGGAGGATAATAAATAATCTCAGAATTCTATTTCAATTCAAGCACATCACAACAGTTTAACAAGTTACTTATTTTGACTATAAAAGCACTCGTCTTATTTCCCATCTGATTGTATTAGATTAATAACACATCTTGTCAAGGACAAGATTCCGCACATGACCACTTCTATGTGTATATATCAGTTCACCTGTTGCTGTGGAGCCAGGTACATCGGTCGTTCAACGCGCATCCTGTCTAAAAGGGTCAAAGAACACTGTCCAGCGTGGCTACAGAAAGGAAATAATGGCCATATAAGGAGTGCAATAATTGAACATCTCGTTAATACTGGTCATTCCATATCAACGAACGCCTCCTTCAAAGTAATCTACAAAGTGAAGAACAACCTTCCAAAGACAGTACGATTTCGTCTTCTTTGCATCGCAGAAGCCCTAGCCATCCAGTTGGAGGAACCAGAACTATGCATACGAAAGAAAATTATCCAACCACTTCTACTCGCATGGTAACTACTCCTTTGATTTGACCTAACTTTTCTTTGTTTGTTTGATTTGACCTTACTTCTGTTTGTATGCTTATTTTTCTAACTTAAAACCCTTGTGTAATTCTGTATATTATTTTGTTTCCATGTACACCCTTTGAGCACAACTCATTCATCAAACTATTCATGCCATTACGTAACTCCTCTTTAACAATCGTTTTTGACAACTCATCACTTTTGTTGCTATCCTCTTATCAACATCCAATTCATCTGAACTTACTAATTGTATTTTCGTTTGACAAATTTAATGTATACACACACACAAAATAACCATATATATTTGCGATTGTACAGCTATGAAAATGAATTCGCCGAAAAGAGACTCTTCGCTGAACTACTTGTCTTCTGTCTACTAATGTTCGAATGGGAATTATTCATGAATTAATAACACATTATCCCATATTGATTTTTACTCAAATGTCTAATCATCAATTTCACTCACGTATATAAGTGAAGCGAGAAAGTTGTGTGAGTAGTGTCTTGATATGATTATGACCTACAGTAATAATTTGTGCTCGAAACGTGTTCATCAGTTAATATTACTGTACAACATTGTGTGACTTATCAAAATAAAATCTTATCGATAATAGACTGCCACTTTGTAATCATCGGGATGTGAAAGACCAATGACTGGAGATTATTGATGACTTGGCTCAAAATCATTTTGAGTGGTGCAGATGCATTCACTCTCTGCAGGCTTCTGTATCAGTTAAACTCTCACGTCAGTATTCTCTCTCTCTCCTACAAAATTTTCGCTCCTTATCATTTCTTTGAATCGCCTGTTTCCTCTCTTTTCTCTACCTTTGTGTGCTACGTGGAGTGTAGCAACTTGGACTTCTATACTTTTGTTAGAAGTTCTATGTTGAAAGTCAATCACTCTGTCAGTCAAACTGATCGAAAGATGAAAGACGGAACTATATAACATCTATCTTGAAAACCACATATGCTACCAGCAAACTTAATATTCAGTTTGAGGGGAAAATGTAATTAACATTCTTCTGATAAGTTCTAAAGTGTAAAATATAGAGCAGATGTTCATTGTATTTTGATTAATATAAAATGGAATCAAATCCAAAACTTGAGGATCACACACGCTTTGAGATAAACACTTTCCTTTAGAGATAAATATATATCTACCCAGATCAAATTGTGATCTGTTTTTGTCACCATAAACAGTGAACAAGTAAACAAACGAAATACCTCTACTGATTGATATAAATTTTCAACTCGAACTGTGTAGTTGCGAATAATTAACTGTATGTCAAATCTTACCAAGTAACCCCACGCGATTTAAGGGGGCGGGGGTGCGAACTGAATAATCATATCTGGAAAATTAGACACCCATGATTATTTAATTTCCATACGGGTTTGTTTTCTTTGCAAATTTTGAAAATCAAAAGCTTTTACTATAGGCAATCACTTTAAAAAATCTAAGCTGTCATCGCTAAGCCCAGCGGTAAATACTTATTAAATTTGACTACGGACTGGTATCATCTAGAAAACCAACTAGAACCAGGGAGTAGTTGAGAACCGTTTCGTACTAATTTACCACCCATCACCTGTGCTCACTCACAACCCCACTCTGGATCTAACCCAGGATCTACAGACTGCATGGCGAGTTCCCTGACTTCTCAGCCACTAGGATATAACCCAGTGGTCCATGAATTCTAACGTCACCATTAGCCAATGTCCTATGCGAATGTTTATATTCACACCTACGCCAGTGGTCCCCTCTACGATCCGTGGTCAGACTTGAAAGCAACCACATCTCTAAGAATTAACGCTTGATTATGTCTATTAATCAAGTTCTTCATCCATTTTGAATAGCTTGGAATCTTTCTACTTGTATCATTTTGATGACTGACCACTGACTCATACATTGAAGATATCCTGAACCTTTAGGTGTCTTCAAAGACAACAGCCTCCCATTGTCATATTTAAGTGATTAATAAATAGTCCTCAGATTACTGATCATTAAAAATGAGAACTGGAACGTTCCAGGGTAGTATGTACATCGGTTTCAAATTGAAGTTAGCAAAGGAAATCAGGAAGTGAACAATGATACCCCGACGTACAGCCTTGTTATAAAAGGAATACCTACGCACTTGTTATAAGTAAAGTATACCAGAAATACCAAAAATGGACACAAAAGGTTTCAACCATTCAGAAGAAAATTCTCTTTAAATAGATCATGATTTCAACAACAATACTGTAACTGAAATCCTCAAAAACTGTCACTGGAGGTCTTTCATAGACAAATTTGTTGCAGATATCAGATTCGCCGTTCGACAATTAACTCCAGTGTAAGTTAATGACAGAATATCTTACATGGTAACTACAGTAAGCCTTTAGAAGTCAACCTTTTGTGGAGAGCACAGCACATCATAGTTTCACAAAATCTAGTTTTCAATTGCATTTTGCTAATTCTTTCAGTCTGTGTAGACAAATAAGCTTATAAACCTCAGGCGGTAACAGCATATCAGTGTCGGAGATTTTCTATTCGGAAAGGACACACTACTAAGTGAGTATTTTTTAAATTCATTTACATTCCCAGTGCAACATGAGGCTTCAAGCTAGAGCTTTGAAGTTTCCGTAGCAGCTGTTATCTGCCGGGTGAGGCTGCTAGCTTCACACCCAACCTTCCGTCTTTACCGGATCGGCTACCTGCTAAGCGAGCGTTAGGAGTGCGTCGGCGGGGGATCAAACCCCAGACATTGTACCTGGTTGGCGAGCATTCTACCGCTGCACCACCGACCCATTTAGTGAGTATTACATAAAGTAAATATGAAATAACATTACGTAAGAAAGAAATAACCAAAAATAAAATACATCCTAGAAAATATTAGTGAGATCGAACTCAACTCTGTTTCGCTTTTTCTTAACTTTGAAGACATTATAACAAATATAAAATGCTGTCATTAAATCAGTCTCTTCACTTACATTAAAAATGTTAACTGTTCTTACTTATAATCAGTGAAAGTTCAGACTGAATACAATCCTGATCTTGACAAGAGAGGTTCACGAGTGTAGTTATAACCAAATGAAATGAATCGCGAACAACTTTAAAGCCGAATGACGTCCAGTGACCAATTTTTCTCTTCCTGAAAGTGACTTTATTATCCTAAAAAGCTGCAAACACCATTATTAAATGTGTTACCTTATAGGTTAAAACACGACACGAACAGTACTTCATTATGAAATGATAATCTATCCTTGTGCCTAAGTTTTATTTCTCATAAACTGGCACTTTTTGTTTTGTTATATTCCAGTGAGTTTGTCGGTGGAATGTCATTTGGAATAGCCAGTATACAAAATAAGAAACATGTAAGTGTTGTAAGTGTTTAAATTTAATTTAATTATTTATTTATAAGCAGTTGACTGTGTTTGATTGTCAGCTACAATACTAAAACACAAATGATCTATGCAGAGGTGAGTGCTTATAATGACAATTGGAGTGAATATAATACTCTGCCCCGTGACCGCTATCCCTATTTCGCAGAATACTCAGAATGCATCAATTCCACTCCTGGAACCATAAAAATTAGAGACAAATATTCTCCAACTTCTACTTAATATTTAAATAATATGGCGCTTCGGAAACCTTGAGGAAATTAATAAGTTTCAATTTTTAATTTTCAGTAGTTATGTAGAACGTTCCAACAAACAATAGGTGTTTTCACCTTCCACGATTACACCTCTGGCTGAACTGACAATCCTCTGTGTAACTGGTCTTGAATCCATTATTCATTGCTACAGTCTTCACAGAATTATGAAGAGTTAAGCAAGGGTTACTTTTAAGATACAGATATTCATTTAGAATTAGTTGCGACTCAAGACTTTCAGGTACATAAATGTCACCTTATGCAACAAACATAATCAACCAGACTGCCAACAGTAATTCGGTTATTAATTCATGACCAGTAGGTTGGGTGAGAGGACAAATACTCGCCGAAGATACTGGCTAGTGGTCACGCTATGTCTTGAATTGGTAGAAATTAGAATTCTTGGGTTAGCCATTGGATCAGGTCCCAGTGGCTCAATGGTCTACGATTTTGCCTTGTAACCATAGATTCCTGGGTTCGAACCACTGTGGTGGATGTGCACTTCTGAAGGGTCCCAAACTAGGACGAAACAGGTGTCCAGTACTCCCAGGTTTCCCAATGGTTCTCTAATCACTGTCAGCTCATGATAAAATCCTGTAACTAATTTGGTTATTAAATTCTCGAAAAAATTAGTAACCCAGAACGACGGAAAACAACAGTCACTTAGAAGTACTTTTCACTCCTAACATTCTCAATAACACGACATTAGTTTTCAATTGTTAGTTTGCAAGGATTTAGACGGTTATAAGTTTAGTTGTAAGTTGCCATCAGTTACAGAACCACCGAGAAACCAACAAGGACTGGATAGCTGTTTTGTCACAGTTTGAGGCTATTTAACGGTACTCATCTATCGGGATTCAAATCTGGTTATAAGGTGAAGCTGGTAGAAGTTGGAACTCATGGGTCATAACATTATTGACTATCTGGTGTCTAATTATTATTATGTCCGTTACAAGTCTTCATGAGAAAGGTAGCGAACCCGAGTAGTTCAGTGGTAACGTCTCTGACAGCATTACTCGGTGATTTGGGTTCGAATCTCTGTGGGGACTTGAGTTAGCTAGTTATTCCCAAGAAATCTAGTATATTTAGCTTTAAAAGATTGTTTACATAGAATATATACGTTAGTATGTGTGTATACGCGATTGTGTTTTTTCTAAACGCATATCAACAAGATCTACTGTCTGACTTCGCTTCTTCGCTTCTTTGAATTATCCCCATACATATTTTCCTCGTTTCGTTGTAGTAAGTTTCCATCTTATTTAATTTATAAGTAAATTGTATTTATGTCAATGGGTATTAAGAAGTCGCTGAAAAACAAAATTCGCTTCCTTTTTATTTAAACAAATGTCATAGTAGAATTAGCATAACAGTAAAAAAATTAATTTGAAAAGCGGAAATTTGAAAACAAACCATCGAAATGTGATTCATTTTGTAAAATAGCAACACGTTTAAATATCAAGACTGATTGAGAAATTAGTTCAGTTACAGAGCCATTGAGGACCAGTTGGAAGTATTCGACAGCCGTTTTGATCTATTTTTGAGATTCTTCATCGGTGCGCACCCAGGATCCAACATGACATCAATGGGAACGAGCCCAGGATTTTCATGTTTCAACGTGAGATAATAGACCGTTCAGTCTTTGGGATAGAATCTGGTGGTCCGCTAATAATAACGTGATCATCAACCAATGTCCTCGGAAAGCATTCGTCCTCAAATTCAACTTGGTGGACTTCAATGGTCACAACTTCCCACAGGAATTTAACTAGTGATTGACTACAGGATAAAGTTCCTTGAAGTTCTGTTGTGAAGTCCTGACCATTAGTGTCCACCAAGTTGGGTCTGGGGACAAAAAGTCACCGAAGTCATTGTCTGACGGTAGTGTTATGTATCGCCAATTAGCAAATGGGAGAAAACATGCGCCATAAGATCCTGTTCTGGTGGCTGAATGGTTTACGATTTGTGTTTCAATCTGAAAATCTCGGGTTCGGTCCCTGATGCAGTCAAAGGTGGTTACTGCTACTGAAGAGCCCCAAACGAGTACGAAACAGCTGTTCAAAACTCCTTGTTGGTTTTAGGTGGTTTTATAAATGAAGTTACTTTGTGACCAATCTTTCCACACCAAAACTTGGAAATTTTATGAAAATTAACATGTATTTTGGGAAAACCCATTATTAGATGCTTTTAAAAATGCTATCAATAAAAGTATATAGTACAAATCAGACCTCTCAGTAATTCACTTATTCTATAAGTACCCGAGGATTGGAAGAAAGGATACTTATTCAAACTACCAAAGAAAGGAGACTTAAGTCAATGCAAAAACTGGAGCGGAATTATGCTCCTGTCCATACCAAGCAAAATACTAAGCCGAATCATCCTGGAAAGAATCAAACAAGCCACGCTGGATGAAACACTTCGACCGGAACAAGCTGGATTCAGAAGAAACAAGTCATGTATTGATCAAATCGCCACACTACGGATCATCATTGAGCAAAGTTTGGAATGACAGTCACACATCTCTCTATCTCAACTTCATCAACTCTGAAAAGGATTTCGACAGCGCAGCGTCGATCGGGAGGTGATTTGGCAACTACTTTACTACTACGGGGTTCCATCGACAATTATACATCTCATCCAACAGTTATACGACAACGCTGAATGCCAAGTAATCCACAACGGGAAACTGACGGAAGCCTTCGAAGTGAGGACGGGAGTGAGGCAAGGCTTTCTACTATCGCCAATGATCTTCCTGATTGCAGTAGATTGGATAATGCGACAGACAACGGTCCAGGCAGCAAGGAAACAGGCACAAAATGGACTCACACAAAAAACTTGGTAGAAGAAGCATCCAGAGAACATAGGCGTTCAGGTGAACATACATAAAACAGAGGTGATAAAGATTCTCGGCCAACGCCAACAGCAACAACAATAACAGACAACAATCAGCCATCATAAATGAGAGGAACCTGAAAGAAACAACCTCCTTCACCTCACCACCTACCTGGAAAGCATCGTTTCAACTACAGCCCGATGGAACTGACGAGGATATCAAAGCCAGAATCGGAAAAGCAAGACAAGATTTCATTACTCTGGAGTCTATGTGGAGGTCAACAGCACTCAGAATCAAAAATAAGATCCGGATTTTCAACTCCGATGTGAAGTCAGTGCTACTCACTGTACGGATCAGAGACTTGGCGCGTCATAAAGAGCACCTCATACAAACTACAGACCTTCATTAACAGTTGTCTTCACTCAATGCCACTCAAGATCAGATGGCCGACCAGAAAAGATTAGCAACAAGAAGGGATGTCTGGGAGCGAACCAACTCAGCAGGAACCGATTGTGCTACAAATAGGCAGGAAGAAATGGAGATGGATTGGCTGGCCATACGCTGAGAAAACAAGCCATCATGTGACATCACTAGATAAGCCATTGCTCGAGTGGAACCCGAAAGGGAAGTGGCGAGTTGGTCATCCAAATTTGACTTGGAGGAGGTCATGTGAGTAGGAGATGAAAGCGTGTCAGCAGACTTGAAGTGGGGTGAAAACGTTGGCAGAAAACCGAAGGTAATGGAGACGCGCAGCTGAAGCCCTATATTCCTCTGGGAATTAAAGGATATAATAATAATAATGAGTTTGTAGGCATTCAGCTAAAGTGAAGCCTTTGACTGAAAAGATAAATAATCGGATTAGTTCAACAGAAATCAATTTGACTTAGCCAGCCTTGTTTACTTACGAAAAATCAGTAATTATAAGATATCATAGCTTCATATTTCATAGTACAAGTACAAATTCTTAAATCCTGAAATGACAACTGTGTAAATGATGTTTTACTAAACGTTCATTGCTTCAAATTGCAACAGTCTGCAGAGCTCAGTAGTAAGAAGCCTAATACTCACAGACTGATAACAAATTTAATGAGTATGTTTATGGAGAGAGATAAAATTCCTAAATGGTCAACCTGAACTGTCCTTAGCAGCTAAGACCAGCAATTTGAGACTCTGAGGTTGCTTACCATAATTTTCCTTACCAGCACCTACGTACTTTGTTCTAATCCGAATTCAGTTAAAATTGTTCCACAAGGAAGGTGAAACTTCATCACATCTGTTTCTAATACCAGTTCATTTTATCTGTGAAGAATCTCAACCTTATCAAATAATTTTTATGTTGTCTATCTAGAATCAACCTCAAAGATATTATGCCTCTAAACTTGAATGTCTTACAAAACATTACAATGAACACAACACTACTTTCAATAATTCTGGCTGTGCTGACGTGTGCTTAACAGCACGAAACCTAGGTCCAGATCCTCCTGCAAACCGCCTCAAGTTGCCTATCGTCGATTTCAGAGTGCTCCGCAATGGTGGGTCACCTGACTTGGTGACCACATCGCAACAGCAAGAAGGACAAGATTTATTATATTACTTACGTCCTGGTGACCATTTAAAATACTTCTTTTACGGTCTGTAATAATGAGACGAATTCTACTCAGTCTGTGAAACAGCTAACACTTCTGTCAGCCAAAATATGGGGGAAGTCATACCAAAGTATTACGTAACCAGACACATTAGGAACAGTATGGAAACGCTCAAAGGATAACTCCTTGGAGTCAGAAAAACCGGAATGCCTAGTTGCAATCCCAATAAGTACACCATGTACTGAAATGCACGAACGTGCAACTGACGAGTTACAGGTTTTTCATCCTCATGATGACCACTGTCAAAGATATGTATCACTCCATCCTGACTTATCATAACTTTGATGGAGCTAAAACTTTTATAAATTATTATGGAAAGTGTTTTCCACAGTTGTCGTTATACGCTTCACGTGTTCAAAGATACCTTCGAGTCTAGAATTATTTTAAGTATGATTTACTTTAGTTCATGAGAATTCTACAAAAAGTTATTTCACAGCTTACTTAAGTTTTAAGGATTAATTGATGGATGGTGACTAGCAGTAAAAGAATCCAGGATGTGTATTTCGTCCTATTTGGGACTCGTCATCTGGATGTACCTGCATTCCTCAGTGACTCAGTGATGATGTTCCCACCGAGGCTCGAACCCAGTGTCCATAGTTTCAAACGTCAAAGCTTTATCCACTAGACCACTTGTGCAACGGGTTATATTAATTATTTAATTGAATTTTAGATTTTCCCGTCGATTGACTGAACCGAAGTGCTTGGTCGCAGACTGACATGTCAGCTTCTTGTGCAGATGCTTCGATGACGTCTAGGCATTAAATTAGAGGTTAATTGGTGGATGGTGACTAGCAGTGTAATCTAGGATGCGAATTTCGTCCTATTCGGGACTTAAGCTTTTAATCAGTGGTATGCAGAAACCTGAAAAATCAAACGAATCGAACTTCAAAATGTGACTTGCTTATAATTCATGTAACTATTTGAATCGGATGACCGTCTCCTAACATTAAACGTTAGAATTCAGTTGAAAAAGTGACTTGCTAGTACTCCCAGATGACGTTCCAATGACAATCTCTTATTGTTCATCATCTAATCATCAGTTATAGACACACAACTGCAATACTTAATTTTTATGGTTTCTTTTCTACGTTCCTACTTGTTGAAAGGTTAGTATAACTCCTCAGGTGTCTTGGTGGACAGATGTTGAATCATTCCTATCGCATGTATTCTCAATTGATTCGATAAATAAATCTTCCATGATCAATCTCTCCCTCCACCCTGTCGGAATACATTTTAAGACTGGCATCTTATCCCATCCTACTGTTTGGCTGTGTCCAACTGCATGTAGTGTTATAACTGAGATGTCTTCTAGCTCACGAAGTATGTATGAATAATTAAGAAAATAGTCATAAGGAAAACTTGAATGACAAACACACACACACCGAAAAATAACTCCGAGAATAATGAAACTAAAACAAAAATGTAGATTTGCTAAACAAAGGGTTAAACTCTGAAACCTTACATAGAATTCTCAACAAGGCAACAAGCAGTCAAGCCTGTATACTTGCTCAGAAACAATTGATGTTGGCTAAAAGGGATCTGATAAGCCCGTTGAAAGAAATAATTTACTTTCTCTAGTATGTCGCAATACATGTGAAGTCAAATACATTGACCAAACTAGCAAGCAGGCTTATTTAGATTAGTGGTGCACAAAAATCAAGAGAAATCTAGATTACTCGCCCTTAATAAGATGAAAAATCTAGAAAGTAGCTCAGGCAATTTCACACAACCATACAACAGAATAGCATTAAATGATAGTCTTAAAATCTTATGTACTGGCGTTGAGGGAGAGAGAATAATGACCAAAATGTCATTTATTAAACTAAGTGACAACGTATATGGTAGAAATGTTTCCCCAAGAGCCTAAGAAATCTGGAAAATCCCACTACCCTTACTATGGTTGCAGAGGGTGGGGGGAAGGAGAACTGTGAAAATCAAGTTTCGAATTTATGCATTTAAAAGTGATATCACGAATATGAACAGTTAATTGTTTTCGAAGCTCTGCTGTCCTTTAAATAATACTTTTTGACTATTGTAGTATATCCAACGGACAAATTATTATGAAATTACATTCAACAACAGTGCTTAAATAATTCCATATTAGTTTGTTTATTAGATATATCACACAGTCACTGAAACAGTATTATTAACTGGACGACATGGTTTCGAACACAATTTATTGTGGTTCATAATTATATCAGTTATGATCAGACAACTTCGAAACTTGAGTTTTATAGTTTACTCGGTTCTCTCCTATTTGCCGTCGCTGGGATAGTGAAGCTTTCCAGATATCCAGGTGGACAGGTGTTGAATCATTCCTATTACACGGATTACCTGTCAGTTGATTCGATAAACAAAGCTTCTCTTATCAATGTCTCCCTCCATTCACCATGTGACATTAGATTTTAAAACTCTCATCCTATCCCATCTCATCCTATTGTATGGTTGTGTGTAATTGCATGTGGTGAGTGCTATAGCTGAACTATTCTCTAGACTTCTTGCTATCTTATTTGGGTCAACCAATCTAGATTTTGCTAGGTTTTTATATTCGGCTAATCTTACTGACTGTCCCTGTTCTACTAGTTTGACCTATGTACTTGACCTGACAATCATTTCAGGCAGGGTATTAGATAAACTAAATTGTTTTGTTTTAAAGGCTTCATAGGATTGATCCTTTAATCGACAAAGCTTGTTTCTAATTGAGTTTGTGATTGGTTTGAATTCCAGCCATTTTCATTCCTTCCTTGTTAAGAATTCTGTGTAAGGTGGTTTCTGAGGTTCCTTTCTTATATGGAATTACTACTGATGATTTAGATTCCTTATTGTTGGTGTCATCATTCATATTATTATTATCACTATTACCACTATCATTATATATTTTATTTTTACATTTACTTACATATTTCTTAACTAATTTATCCGGGTAGTTATTAAGTTTCAAGGCTTCTTTTATGTGTCTCACTTCCTGTCTTAGATTTTCCTTGGTACTACTAGAGAAAATGGCTTGTTTTGACATTGTCAGTTTATATACACGTATACCAACAAATATGGCCATAGTGGTATTCGGAAACGAACTCATTTCTGACCAAGAACTCGAACTTAGGACGAAAGTGTTGGGCTGCATCTGTGCCTGACTTTCACAGTATTTAAATTCCAAGGGAAAATATACAAACAAACTGAGGGAGTTTCCATGGGATCACCAATATCCCCGGTTGTAGCAGATATATTCATGGATAAGTGGGAAAATATGGCGATTGAAACGTTCAGCCCCACCCATCCGAAAAGTATGGTGGGGATATGTAGATGACACATTCACTGTACTCAGAACACAAGATACAGATAGACAGATTTTTCGAACACATTAACTCAAAGGTGGAGGTGATTCATCAATTCACTTATGAATTGAGAAGTCAGGAAGAGGGGAACTGCCAATGTTAGATTGCAATGTAAGAAGGAAAGAAGATGGGAAGTTAAACACATGTGTGTGTTCACACGAAACCCACATACCTCAGAACATGTGCCAATTGGGTAATCAAGACCCTTCCAAATGCTTGTATACATAATTAGATCATTTGTTGTGAAAAAGTTTGGTCCTCAAACATTCGTACCCGTAATTCTGCGTTTTTTCTCTTGTCAAATCTTCAGATTTCAGGTTGGTATTATTTACTGGATGAAAAAATGTATCGAAAAAAACACCTGAAAACTGCTCTTGATCCTGCTGCCAACTTAGACAATGCACTATGTGCAAATAATGAGCACCAGTTGATAATGCATACATGTCACGTGACAAATACACCATCGTCAGAAGTGATGCCAGCTAAGCCAACTACATCGACATCAGCAGTAGCAGGATCAACAATTAATCAAGAACCAATATGGTGGAACTATTCAAATTATCAACTACCAATGAATAATGAATTGAACAATGATCATTTTACAAAAACACTGTCTAGTGAATTACATCTTGTAGAGAGTTCTGATATTGTTCACACCACCACCACCAACAACAACAATAATAATAATAACAATAATAATAATGGTAATGGTGTTATGAATGACAGTTTTTGTAAGCAAATCCACACCGTTGTAACACCTGCCAACTTCATGATTCATTCACAGAATCTACCGAATACACCGCTGACTTATCCCGTGATAAGCTGTGAAATAAATACATACTTAAGTCAGATATCATCACCACCTGTCTCTACACGTGTGAATATGTCCATACCGAATACTAATAAAGCGCTAAGTAATATGCGGATTTTTCAGGTGAGGCATAAGTTTCGAATAATCACTAATGATTATTATTATTTATTATATTATTATGATTACTTCCTTTAATTCCTAGAGGAATATAGGGCTTCAGCTGCGCGTCACCATTGCGTTCGGTTCTCTGCTAGAGTTTTTACCGGGCTCCAAGTCTACCGCCCACATGCTTTCATCTCCTCTTCACATGACCTCCTCCTCCAAGCCGTCCTCGCACTGACGACCAACTCGCCACTTCCCATTCTGTCGGGTTCCGCTCGAGCAATGGCTTGTCTAGTGATGTCACTTGATGGTTTGTTTTCTCAGAGTATGGCCAGCCAATCCATCTCCATTTCTTCCTGCTTATTTCTGGCACAATCGGTTCATGGTTGGTTCGCTCTCAGAGATCTTCGTTGCTGATCTTCTCTGGCCGGCCATCTGATTTTGAATATTATTACTATTACTGGAAATAATAGCAACAGTATATCACAAACACCCAATTTAGTGCGCTTAATTTAAATAATTTCTTTTAAAAGTGAAGATATCTCTGTTCATCACATAACTAAGTGAAATTAGTTTCAGCGGCTTTCCGATTAAACCTTCAGTCTTGATATTCCTCGTGATCTTATCGCTGAAATAATTTTGATGGTTCACTGTTGAAAAATCACAAAATAGAGAGGATAACTTTCTCTGTATTTGACACTGACGTATGACGAAGTCAAATCCCAATCAGTATTGAAATAATTCATTCTATCTCAGTGGTAGACCACTCGCCAATCATGTTCGTGACTCACAGTTTGACTCCAAGCCAACGTACTCGCAAATCCGCCTGGTCGGTAATAAACCTGAGAAAGTATTTTGTTCGGAACACAGGGAAATTAAAAAAATGGCTACCTGAAAGCTATATCGATAACGACTGTTATTTAGTGGTGAATTATTTAAGTAGGGTGATTATATGGGCATAGTCCTTTTTTAAGGTAGTTTGACCTGCTTCATTCGGTGGGTATTGTCGTATTTCAATAAATAGACCAAACATACTAGCAGGATTTCATGAAAATTCAAAAAAGTATACCTTCCACTTCTAAACTTACTGCATCCTTTAATCCAGATATCAGTATCCAGTGACATTTCCTTATTATTTTACGGCAAATGTTCTCGAATATAATGCCACGGATATTATGTACAGCCGAAAAGATTTCTTAATGCAAAAATTTCATTTGAAAAGCATGTAAAACATGTAACTTGTGATTAAACCATCATAGCAATGGACTAGGATGCTTCGATTAGTGGCGATATTCGATAAAGTCATTCATTCAGGCGACTTGCTCTAGTAAATTTCTTTCAAGTCTGAAGACCAATTAAACGTATCAAAATATTTATTCACATTATATAAAACCATTTATTAAGATTTCTTCAGTCACAGATATATCATACGATACAAATATCATTTTCAGGTTTGATTGCATGCAGGATTTCATCATGAGCTGACATCAATTAGAGAACCACTGGAAAACAATCTGAGAGCACTGGGCAGCTGTTTCATCCTAGCTGATGAAGAGTCCCTAACTAGGATAAAACAGCTGTCCAGTGCTTTCACATTTTACAGTGGTTCTCTGCCGACGCACTCCTGATATGTATGGTCGGCCTGCGAAATTTGAGCTACCGTTATCCATGCTGAAAATTCCATACTTGTACCAAAAATACAGTGTGGAATCAAGCTGTAATCAAAAATTTAGAAAAATAAAATATTGATGTATTTGCTGTACACGCTTGGGTGCTGAATGATCTAGTCACCTACAGAATATTAGGGGTTGTCACTTCTTAAGTGTCTGGACCCAACCAGGAGAGCTTGGGTGAATTAATGAATAGTAACTAATCGCGAATGTCTCTAAAAAATATTGAAATAATTATCTTAGATACAGCTGAAGAGAATAATTTTATTAATGGGATTACTTAACAACTTAAAACAATCTGGATACAGTGTGGTTTCATATAGAGATGCGCAATTCGATGATGAAAGTAAGATCAAAAGTAAAGACGACCAGAATTAAACAAAGTAGGTCATATATATGAAGATGAAGACGACGGTGAGTGCAAAAATGGATCACTAACTAATTGTTGCATTCAGGATAAACTATATTATTGATCGATTATATAATATCTCTAGAAGTGCACTCCGTATTCATCATAGTTATTTTTGTTTGGTAGAGTCCCAAATGGGACGGATGGTGGTATCTTGATGAGCTGGTTTGAATTCTGATCCATCCAACAGGCAGGGAGGGGGGTGGATAAAGTCAGGATCGGCATTTTCATGGTTATACGTGACCAAATACATTAGTAGGTCTTCTTTCCTTCTCTTTAGATGTTAGAGTTAGTTAACATCAAATCTCCATTTGATTCTCTTCCCTGTACTCCTTTAAAGGTAACTGCACAATTCACCATAAGCATTCGTCTCCTCATCACATGACTTTCCTTTACTTCACTCTCGAACACTAAGTTTCACTCGAGGATCTGCCTAATGAATGATGTTATTCAACGATCTCTTCAGTGAGTCTTCGACCCATCTACATTTCCTCCTGCATATTTCTAAAGCAATGTGTTCTTGGCTACTTCATTGTCAGAGTTCTTCTAGCTAATCGTTCCCTACCAACCATCTGATCTTCAATTTTGAAAGAAAAAAGTCTCATGGGCTGACAACAGTCTGCAGTAGCCTACTAGGAGTGCTTTTCATGACACCAGCATCGAGTATCCGAATCATAGAGAACCTCTGATTGACTTGACATGAGTGCTTAAAAAAACCCGAATCTTGTTCTCTTTTTATGTTTACAGCAGATTTCCACGATGATTTCGGATTAATGAAGGTCTGTCACTTACTTTTTTCAATCCTGTCAGGCTTTCACATCCTCAAGACAGTCAGGGTAACATTGGTTAGTCAAATCAATACTAAGCATACTTAGCACATCTATCAGTTGCTCTTATATTTCAAATTCATAATGATTATTATTATTATTATTGTTAATATCAGCTGTGAATAGTCAGTTGGATGCATTTTAGAAGAAGAAAAAAACAATTTCGGTCTAATCTTTGAAAACAAGTTTCTGTCTTTCTAAGGGTAATAGAAGACATAACCGGGTTTTCTTTCCGCAAAATGACAAGATTACAAGATTGTGTTTTTTGTATGCCAAGCACAGTTAAAAACGGTCTTTTTCTATTTCTTTTTCAAACAAATGTGTAGGTCAGTGTAAAGTAAAGTAAAATGTCATTTCGAGGTTATTTTTAATTTTTCTTTTTTGTTAATGATGGTGATGGTGATAACAGCTGTTTGCATGCAGAGGCATGTATTCACTCTGCTGCTGCTGCTCCCGCTCCCGCTTATCTTCTACGATTATTTGCTTATTACAAAAATGACTATAATATGTGTAGGCTTTCCTAAAGCACACAAAAGCCTAACTTCTCCTGTCAATTAAGGTATTTTCATCCCTAAAATGAATTGACTTTTTTCTGGATGGCTGTAGAAATCCCTTGTCCAAATGATTTTCTCTACTATAGTGTGTCAACTACTGAAGTTATTTAAGTAGTAGGACAAATGAAGGCAAGTCTGCCTTTAAGCAAATAAAGTTCTAATAAAAAAAAAGAGTCGTTACCATTGAGGCCTACAAAATCCAGTCCAGTGACAGGTATTCGCCAAGGACAACAGTTGACTGTCGTGTGATATTGCGCACAAATTAACAGAAGCTAGAATAAATACACACTGGCTAAACACACTGACGTGCTGGTTATGTAGGCTGAAGGTTCAGGATTTTCATTTCTGGTGATGCTATAAAATAAAAAATGGTCTACGAGCATGCCTTGTAACCATAAGGCCCTGGGTTCGAATCCCGGTGGGTGAGTACTGATGAAGAGTAAGTGCTAAACTAGGATGAAACAGCTGGCTTCAAATCTTGCTCTAACTCATGTAGAGTAAATGAAGGATCACCTCAAAGATTCTGTCTCAAGTAAATGACAAAATTAGGTGGTCCATTTGTCTGAATTTCATAATCAAGTTGCAAGACATCATGTGAATCTTTATTTCTTCATTCAAATAACCCTTTGGGAAGTAGATTTACTTCTTATTTCCCAAGTTTTGCTAAGTAAAAAATTAAGGAGTTTCTGTTTCTTACGTGATTCAAAAAGAAGAATCATTATACTAAAACTTAGTAAAGCATTTATCAATAAGGAGGAAGAATAAATACTGTCGTTCAAATCATTAAAATGATTAATCCGCTATGTCGAATTCCCAATTTACACAGATCAAAGTGTCACTTGTTTATTAATCTAAATAGCAATCAGGAAGGAGAGCATAAATTCGTGACGCTACATATATATTACTGGATGCCTATTATCCCCTTTTCTATTCAACTTCATCATTGATATGTTAATGGACTTAACCCTAGGTGACTTCAGCGACTCAGGGATTGACTTGCTACCGGGGAATAATCTCGTTGACTTGGAATATGCAGACTATATAGTCCTTCTAGGTGAAGACGCTGACGAAATGCAGAGTCTTCTAAACACCTTGAACAGCAATCTACGAATGTTTGGCATGCGATTCGCTCCCGCCAAATGCAAGATGATGTTACAGGACTGGACTACATCGACGCCTAGTTTGAAAATAGGAAGTGAAGTGGTAGAGCACGTTGACCGCTTCACTTATTTGGGAAGTACCATCAGCCAACGCCAACGGGTTGATCTCTGACGAAATCTCAGCACGAATACAAGGAGCTCGTTTCGCATTTGTTAGTTTACGCCGACTCTGGCGTAGACGAGATGTTCGACTATCGACCAAAGGGCGGGTGTACTGCTCATCAGTCCGCTCCGTCCTCCTTTATGGTTGTGAGACCTGGTCACTGAGAGTGGAAGACATGAAAAGACTAGCTGTCTTTGATCATAGGTGCCTGCGTTCTATTTCCCGTGTAAAGTGGCATAATAAGGTGAGCAACATTGAGGTTAGGCGTCAAGTTCTAGGTAAATAGGGGAAATCAATC